TCGAGGAAATACGAGCAGGAGCGGCCTTACGAGAAGCATCTCTCAAACAAAAAATCGTCATACGATATGATGCCAAAGTCATGCGGCGTGAATTCGAAGTCAGAAGCCTAGTTCTGAAGAGAAACCATAAAGAGTCTTGCAAAGGCAAGCTCACGGTAAACTGGGAAGACCCCTATCGCGTCCATGCAAAAACAAGGAGCAGGGCCTACTACTTAGAAAACTTACACGGGGAACAACTTGCTCGACCTTGGAAGGCCGAAAAACTGAAGCAACATTACATTTAAGGCACATATACAATCGGCGTGCTTTGTTAAAACGATGGACAACAACATTCTCCACCATATGTGCATGCTTGGATACAAGTATAGCACCTCAAATTAAACAAAGAGACAAGTTTCCACTCTTTTAATGAGCGGATACTTAGCCCAACGGGGAAAACTCAAATCAAGGACAGACATACGACCATCCACCATGTTGTGGAAGAAACCAGTCCCCGTCAAGACAAAATCGACACCCGAATTCACAAGATTGATATGGGCCACTGCATTCTTGAAACATTCATTGACAGTCACGAGAGCATCATCGTCGGCCTGCTGAATATGAGCAACCAGTTGGGCCCTGATCGCCAACCCCTTAACATCATTAAGCTCCTCCTCATCAGGGGCCATGGCAGAGTTGAGCTCGCCCACCTCATCCTCAAGAGCTTTCTTCTCAGTCGCACGGGCATCCTTCTCCTCGGTCAGGACCTTCTTTGCCTTTGCCAACTCCTCATTATCAACCTTCAACTTTTTAAACTTCGCCTCAAGAGCTCTATACGCATCCCAGATTTTCCTCAACTCCAGCTACTCGGAACTCCCTTCCTCGGTGTGAATCGATGTTGTGCACAGGATCCTCATCTAGGCGGCAGCGTCCTGGGCCAACAATGACCTCTTTCTCGGGCGGTCCATCTCCATGTATGCCAGAGACTCTGCCTTATGAACCACTAAATGAGAGCCTTCGAAGAAATTCTTGTCATGGAAGCAGGGGGGCGGCATAAATCTTTCTTTGCCTTTCTCCCGGTCAGATCTACCAGGACATCGGAACGAGGTCTCTTGACCCTTGAGCTCGCTAGCAGAGGAGAATATTGCCTGACAGTTAGACCAGACGAAGAGATCCCGATCCAATCTGCTCCATCACCACCCAAGAGACTCTTGGCGACCATCTTCTGCACTTTCTTGGCCTTTGGCATTAGCATTCTTAATCAAACGGTCCTGAGCAGTAGACATTTTCCCTGCAATAAAACAAGCACGAGTCAGCAAAACATGGATATTAGAATAAGGGCAAGTCGAAAACGAAATGACTACCTAAATACTTCAAAGGATCGTCGCATTCGAGGAGCTCCTTGATGTTAATGAGTCCAGACTCGAAAACAGATTTCCCTTCCTCGTCCACAATGGCCTTTCCCCCCTTGCCCACACGTTGGACCGGGGGTATCCCCTCGATAAAGGCTAATAGTTTGCCATATTTGGCCTGATCTTTAGCATTCAGTTGGCCCGTCTTCACTATGTCATGGTCGGTGCCACGAGCAAAGTGCTCCTTCTCCCAGTCAAAGTAGAACCTTTGCACGAGCTCGCTCATTACCTCCCCTTCCTCGGTCAGCACAGGCTGCCCGTCGGGATCACGCTTGGGGACACAAATAAATACGTTGAGGATCTCCTTCTCCGACACGGGTTGGATCAAGAGGTACTTATCCTTAAAATGTCAAACAAATTCGAGATAGGCCTTAAACAGCTTCTTACTCGACTGTTTCAGGGAAACCCATCTGAACTGCCTACCAATGGTTCCTCGCTGGAGATGAAAGCAGTAAAAAATAGGGAGACGGTGGCCCAAATCTTCAGGTACTCACACACAATTTCGAAAGCTCGTAGGAAGGCTATCGAATTAGGATGAAGTTGCAAAGGAGCAAGATGAAAGTGGTGGAAGAAGGCCAGCTGAAGGTCGGTAAAAGGGATCCGGAACCCCAGATCTTTGAAAAGAATCTCATACATGAGGAACTGGTTGACGTCATACTTCATGCAGATCCGATCACGCTTCCCAGGGACGAAAACTGCCCTATCCTCCTCGGTGCTTAGTTGCTCTATCTCCGAGGCCACGACTGTGAACGCCTCCCCCAGATCTCCCAAGGACCTGGTGTAATTCAGTCCTCGAATGCCACAGGAGGCTCAGGCACACCCTGCTCGGATGCACTTTTCCCCAACGCGGGCTGTTCGGAATCACTGTACCCAGATGTACTCATTTCGGACGAGTCTTGTTCGGACGAATTTTGATCAAAATAACTTTGTTCGCTCATAATCTCATCCACGGCACTGCTAACCATTTTACTTGAAAAGCATGTGAAAAAAGTGGATTTGACGTCAAATCAAATCCACCATTCCACCGCTAATCAAGTGAAAGGGCGCGCAAAGGCACGAGGACCCTGTCCCCAACCAGAGCCCTTACTTAAACAACAAAACACAGACACGAGGGCAATTCCCCCTAACGAGTTAGGCGCATCTCCGCCAGGCTAAACCCTAACCCACACAAGGAGTGATCTCCGTGACGATTGGGTTTTGAACTTCACATGAGGATTCGTCATAAACTCATGCAGTTCATGGCAGAAACCCAGGAAACGGCCCAACCTCGTCGGGAAACTCGTCACAACTCACCGCTACCGGCCCAAACGTCAGATATCTCCAACAGATTCACGGCGGACTCGGCATCCACATGTGGTAAAACCACCATCAAACGCCAACAAACCGCTAGAAAATTCCCCCTTTGGCTACATTAATCATAAACGCGTGCATCTATAAAAACGAAATTAGAAAAACTAGCCTAAAACAGAGATGAAATCCATAAAAACAAGGAAAAGTCAAGAAACTTACTTGGTCGGGGAGGACTAATGGCAAGCGAGCAAAAACTTCGACGACGGATGACGGTGCGTTGCAGAACTAAGGGAAACGAGCAAGAGATAGCAAGCGAAAAAGTGCAAATGAAGCTTCCTCTCTCCCATTTATAGGTAGCCTTACTGGCACGTGAGCGCGCACGCGCCTAGGGAAACCTAGGGGTCATCATCATTATGTCGTAGTCCCTAGACTTGCCATCATTACACATTAATGACAACATATCGCTCGATGCAAGCATGACACGCAACCTCTCAGAGTTCAATCAATCGTTCATCTCCCCGCGCACCGAGCACACAATACCACATTCAAGCACCTCGAACACACCTATCCACAGACGCATCCTGAAGCATTCTCGCCTCCTTGACACACGGGTTTACTCTAAATCATCACTCATACGCCTAGGAGCAACGACTTGGGGCTCCTGTTCTGGATTGGCCCAATGGCTAAGCAAGGTCCAATCCACTTCTGCATGTAGGACAGCCCAATGACTTTGGCTCAATAAAACATGAAGGATAAAGGACATTTTATCTCTTCTGCTCGTCAACTGAGGAGTCCTGGCCACCAGAGTCTCCACGGTTACTTTTGCCCGCTCAAACAAGCTATCTCTCATCTTACCCGGCCGCACGAGGATAGCCACCCGAGAATGACCAGAACTTCTTTGCCCGTTGTAACGGCTAATTACGAGCACTTATGGTCGACACAACGGCTAGTTCCTGACAGTTACCTATTTTTGGAAAACCTGATATCCAGGCCCAAAAATAAGAATCGATGGCAGAGTGTTGGGGCACTATATAAACCATCACACTTGTGAGGGTCAGGTATCCAATAGTCACTTTAAAAATCCTAATCTCATTCTTGTATCACTTTGCATCATTTTTTACTTGATCGTCTGAGTGTCTTGTAGGTACACCCCCCTCCTTTTCTTCAATTCCAACCTAACAGACATCATCTCTTCGACTCACTTTCAGATTTTGGCCAACCAATAAGATCATAAATATTTTAAAAATAACTTCATTATATTTAATGAGATCTCACGATTAAGTCATACTTGATGTACTAATTAACAAATTTATTATATCATATACAATTAACAGAATAAATATAATACATATTTATAAGTACTCTATTTAAAAAATTATTTAATTGAGTTAGGTACGCATATCTTCTAGTTAAACTTGAAAAGACTTTAGCCAAGTGCTCTCGAGTATTTGTATGTTTATCTGTAATATTGAAAAGTTTAAATCATTATCTGATAATGAATTAAAATTATGTTTTTAACATCATAAAAGCTATTTAAAACATAGCAGTTTTGATGATAATAATGGTGAGATTCTATTTCAGAAATTTTTAAAGTCATTAGATATACTTTATTAGTTAAATCAAAGTCAATTTATATCATTAAAATCTTTAAAAATATTTAATTGTTTTTCTAGTTCTTATATAGTTTATAAATTAATATTACCTATCTATATGTTACCGGCGTATCCATTGAAAAACATTTTCTCAAATCCAAGTTATTAAAAATCTTATTTATTATATCACAAGATAGTTTAAATGTCTTGCTTTGATTTTTATTTCTTTAGTAAAAAAATTTTAAAAATTAGTTATAAATAAAATTATTAATGATTTTACAATAAAAATTTACAATTCTAATGACATGATTATGAGTGCGTCATTATTTTAATTAGTCTAGAACACCAAATTAACAAACAAAAAAAAAGACGAGTTTTAGACAGTTATGGTGACTTTTGACGCTTCAAAATCATTGAAGCCCTACCGTGTGGCAAAGTAACTACATTTGTCGACGTTGTATCAGTGTCAGATACCAGACACATTTCACGTTGTATCAGGGTCAGATACGGAACACATTTTATTTATATATATATATATATATGAAGTTTTGATGAGAAAACCAAATGACAGCCATCAAGATAAAAACAGTTTCCAAAATGATAGATGTAAAAAATTAAAAGAATGGAATGAAAGGATTCCTAAATCTATGAATCATGAAGAATAAGATTATAGCAAATTACTTAGGAAAGAAGAAGGGAGCAATGAAATAACCAAACTGTTCTATCTTCATGATTTTCCCTTGGTCTTAGCTCCTTCCCGCTGATTACGAAAATGGCTGAGAAGTTGTTGTGCCTGCATGAAAAGTTTACTACAATTTAGCATTTTATCCAACATTTCAACACATTTTGATTCTTGTTTCCATTGATAAGTTCCATACCTTTTCCTTTGCTCTTGGTGTTCCAGATTGAGATAATGCAACTAGAGGAGGTACAGCTCCTTCTTGTAAAACAAGTGTACAAAACCTTGAACTATGAAGGCATAACTGTAGGAGAATGGAAGCAGCATTTTCCTTTCCCCGCTGAGAACCCGATTCAACGATTTCAACTAACGAAGGAATTCCACCTTCTCTTGTAATTTCCAACCTTCCTTCGGAAATCGTCGACAGGTTTGACAGAAGAGCAACAGCCTTGTCAACCATTCCGTCAGCAGGATCTGTTAACCGAACCAGAAATGGCACAGCTCCAGCTTGAACTATGCGAGCCTTATTATCGTGAAATATTGACAGGTTATATAAAGCAGTAGCAGCATCTTTCTTTCCTCTAACTGTTCCGGAGGCAAGAAGTTCCACCAAAGCTTTAACTGCACCAGAACGGCCGATTTTCGCTTTACCGTTTTCCATTACAGATAGGCTGAATAGCGCTGCTGCAGAATTCTCCTTGGCACCGTCGTTTCCTGTCTTTAAAACATGGATAAGGGGCTCTATAGCTCCTGCTTCCATAATCAAGGCCTTGTTGTTTTCATTAATCGACAAATTCAGCAGTGCTGTAACGGCATGCTCTTGTGTTACTTTCCCGTTTGAATATAGCAGTGAAAGTAAATGTGTCACAGCCCCACATTGCCCTACAATGATACGGTTTTCTGTGTTATGCTTTGTAAGGAGCCTCAATTCTTCTGCGGCAGCAGTTTGCGCTTCAGTTGATTGGCTTTGGAGGTCTTTGATCAATTGATTGACATGAGATGAAGTAGTCAATTCACTCAATTCGGAGTTCGACACAAAATGAGAATCAACTCTTAAATAACTATTAGTATTACTGTTACTATTTCTCCCATTTTCCATCCCTCCTGGATCTACGGACGACAACTTCACATTTTGATGCTTATCAGACATCCTTGACACATCTTTTGAAACTGCGAGTAGACAATCACTACTAGAAATCGAACTTGAAAATGATTCACTTCTGCTGTGAATATATGGGGATTGTAGCTCCCACTTTTCGATTTCTACATGTGATCCGAAAGAATTATCACCCTTTTGTTCTTCAAATACATTTCCAGTATTATGCTCAAAGTTACTCATACGATTGGTGTTATTTTCCTCAGACCAAGTTGCTATCATAGCTTTGACGGTATAATTGGGAATGAGCTTCGTATGAGCCAGTCTTTGACGAGTCTTCGGACAAACAGTCAGCCCGTGATCAAGCCACTTTTGAATGGATTGCCTCTCGTATGTTTGACCCGAAGCCACAATAACAGGATCCAACATGAGTTCCAATGATAAAGGACAGCGAAAGTATGGAGGGAAAGAAACATCGCTTTCAACTGCAAAGCACTCGGTTTTAACCACATAATCACGTAAGTTGCGGACAAGGTTCACAACTTCATTGATTTCTTCCATGTTTCCTTTCATTTTGTGTTCTTCAGCGATCAATCTTTCTTTCTCCACAGCAATAGTTTCTTTCAAAAGCTCCTGGTTCGATGTCAAGTTAAGTAACTCTATAATTTCTTTTAGATTCTCATTGCAAGGTTCAATATTTCGGTTTCCCAGTTCCTTTTCTATATAGACCATTGTCGTTTCCTTCTTGAGACACTGAAGTTCTTCGATATAGTGCTGAAAAAAGTCGCTGGAAATAAGTTTCATACTCGTTTTGAATCAACAAGAAACACGCATAAATTAACTAAGACTGTCATACCTGGAGGTTAGCCAAAACCGATGCAGATGGAGGTGACTGTAACGATTTAACAATCATGTGACAAATGTCAAGTGAAGTGTTCTGTATCGTGATCAACAATGTTCCACTTCGTAGAACCTGAAAAATACGACCGATCGCAACAAAACACTTAGCTTGGCTGTTTAAATTTATAAGAATACAAGTAATTACTTACACTGTGAATCTTGCTCATCTTAGGACTCCATTTTTCAATGAAATCTCTTGCTTCGTTAACCCGTATATCCAATTCTTCGCATACTATACATAAATTTTCATGAAAAGGAATATTGTAATCCATAATGTCATCGAGCACTGGCTTCAAACGCTTTAACACGCCGACCATATTGTTGCAGATCTTCTGGAAGGGTATAGGTTTCACTGTTTGGCAAGAAACCAAAAGAACGAATCGAGAAATGCTGTTGATCAGACATTTTACTGAAGCTGTTTTCGTTTGACCTGCTTAAGTGAAACCGCACACAAAACTAATGTTACACAAATATGGAAAGAAAAGAATCACTATAAGATGAAATATATTCTATGGAAAGAAAAGAATCAGTATACGATGAAATCAAAATTTATAAATATTCTAACTGTATTACCACAAGCACTGAAACACATTTTGATTATGCGTCTTTACCGATAAAGAAATATGGTTCGGCCTAACTCAACCCTACATAACAGACTTGTAGGATGAGAATTACCTCCTTATATGCATATATTCAGGCTATATATTATCCGATGTGAGACTCATAACAATAACCAATGAAGCCTGATAGAAGATGACTCGAGGGATCTTGGATAGCTCTGATACCATTTTAGAGTTAGAGTTACGCCTAACTCAACTCTACAAAATCAGTTTAAGTATAAACTCATTTTCAGACCTAGCCCTCAATGAAATAGGTCTAGGTGTAGCACTGAATCACAAAGAGGCTATAAGGAATCAAGCAAAGGGTGGCCCAGTATGCATGTCTCCCACCATTGAGAAACTGGGAAATGTTATATAAAGTCTAATCCCAATGAAAATGATGCAAGCAACACAAGTCAAAGTCCACTGTAGGAGAAAGAACTTTTTGTTCAAAAGTGGTGAAAAATACTAGTGGAAGAGACAGACAACAACTTCCACTAAAAATGAACACAATTCAACTACAAACTCAAAGCACATAAATAAAATATTCCAAATCAAACAAATCACTAGTAAGAAGCTTAAACAACAACTTATCAAACAAAAGTTACCAACTTGTCAAGAAAATTTTCATTTCATCAAACGTTTCAAAATCTGTAACACCCTAGTTCTCCACAGAAAACCCAGAAACAACCCAACAAAAAGTTCAGATTTTTAGTATCAACAAAACAAGAAAACGAATGGATCCACCAATAAATCAAAAACAAAAAACATGGTAGCTAACAAATCCACATAAAAACATCATTCTGAGATTAAAAACATAAACTTTAAATCAATGCACTTTTCATACCTATATGCATAGTTCTGAAATCAACTTCAAACCATAAATAATGAAGTGAAACTTTCCAAAAACAAGTGATTTATGAACTCAAATCCTTGGCATTGAAACTCTTGATCCTCATCCTTTACTGCATCTCCTTGTTTTCCAACAAAGTTGTCTGAAAAAGCATGAGAGAAAGGACAGAGTACAACCAACAACTACAAGAAGGAATTTTTTGAAGAAATTACAGAGAAAAAAAAAAGGTTTATTGGTGGGTCCATTAATGGTACACATATACAGTTGCAAAATGTGTTGTGTTTAGTTATAAGATTTAATTTGACCAAAAAGAAAGTTTATGAAATTTAATTAAGTCAATAATGAAACTTTATGAGATAATGAAACTAATTTTCTCTTTTGTTATGTCCCTTTCTAGGATATTCTTATCCTCTATAGTCATAAATAATTAGTTTATTATTTTATTTTATTTTTTTACTAATCGATTAATTAATTTGAAATGGAGGGAAAAACTTAATGAAACAAATTACCAACAAAAAAACCATTTATACCCCTATTCTAAAGATTGGCATGTAGCATCTTTTATAACAAGTGCTTTTTTTTTTCTTCTTTTGTTAAATATTTATATTTATTGTTTTTACTTATTTAATATTTCATGTCTTTTAATAAAATTTAAAATAAATTAACATTGATTTATAAAAGCTACATAACAAATAAATAATGTTAAAAGTTTTTATTAAATTTAATTATTTTTAATTATTATTGTAAACATAGAAAATAAAAGCAATTAAAATAAGCTTATGATTTTTACGTGTTATTTTAATGAGCCAATTTACTAGTTGGAGCCGGTAGGAGGCTTGGGTTGCCAATAGGAGTCAATTCTAGGTTGGCTTCCACTTGGGAGCCTTTGTTAAATCTGATTTGAAAGAGACTTAATTTTTAGACTCATAGGTGCGTTAGTTTAAAGGATAGAATTATCCTTCATAATTATGTGCTTAACGCGATTCTAGTTTTCTATCTTTTTTTTTTTAAGATATAAGTAAAAGTGTGAAAGAAGTTTGTTAGGATTCAAATGAGATTTTTATAGGAAAGAGTGTATCGAACATCTAAAATCCCCTAGGTTAGATGGTCTGAAGTGTTTAAGCCCAAGAAGTATGAGGGCCTTGGTGTTAAAGATCTACAGTTGGTTAATCTAGCCCTTCTAGCCAAGTAGAGATGAAGATTTCTTACAGTTTATTCTAGTCTTTGGTATGAAATTTTGTTTTTTCGTTATAGTGCTTCTATTATCTCCTCGTGGTGTATGTTAGATCTTTGGGACGTCTCTCCTTTTCTATCTGATGGAGATGAGTGTTGAAAAATTGAAGAAGCCAAGAGTTGAAAGTTCTCGCACTACTTAAGTAGAAGTTGTAGGAAAAGCTCAAGCAGATCTTGTGAAGAGTCAACAGAAGATTGAAAGACTCTGGTTGTCCAAAGATAAGATACAAGCAAGTCACAAAGAAGAAGTTAAGGCTTTGAAGAAATAACTCCGAGAGGAGGAAGGCAAGACTAAGAAGATATGTAGACAGTGAAAGGTTTTCGAACTGTAAGTCCAAAGCCAACAGAAGCAGATTGACATGTTGACTAATCAAGTTAACGAGCTCAAGGCTCAACTCAAAGAAAAAGATGATCAGAAGCTAACAGTTGAAGGGAAGAGGTGTCCAGTTGGCTCAAACTGTAGAAGAATTGGCAAGGCTCAAAGTTCGACTTGGAGTTTGACAGCAGTTTTCAGTTTTGTTGATCTCTTTTTGTCTTTTGTTATGATCACCGCCAGACTTATTGGACGAGATCCTTATGATTTTATCTGTATGAACTCGTGTTTGAGAAACTCTTTGTATGGATTGTCTATTTCATGATATGAGCGGTCTCTTTCTTTAATGATGATCTGTTTATATCTTGTTGCCTTCTGTTCTTGATGAAAAATCTAGGATTTTCTTGGAAATGGTAAAACATTGCATGCATAATCATGCATTCATTCATATCATATCATAACAGGTGGTTCCCACCAGTCTTCTTACTTCTGATATGGTTCTTTTCAGATATTGCAACTTTAAACTCTCGGTGGTACAACACCAGGGGTAATTCGAAGAGACGGGTGGAACAGATTAAAGCTAATATAGTTATTATGGGTGTCAAGATGGACACTCGTGTTGAACAGTTGATGGAGATTATCCAGGCTATGGCTCTAAAATAGGAAGAGCTAAGGTATTTGGTTGTGAAACCTACTGCAACTACAGATGAAGGGAATGAAACTCTGAACACTCCTCAAGGAGATGTTAGAAATCGTGTAGGGGTTGTTGCTAACCATCTTGCTGGTAATCCGGGTGGTCATAATCTAAATGATAATGCTGGTGTTAATCTTGGGAATGGTCTTGTTGTTAACCTTGGTAATCCTGCTGCCAACAATCAAGGTGTCCCTATGATTCAAGTTGTGCGAAATATTCCTCCACCCACTCCTCCTCGTCAGAACAATGAACAACCTTTTGTTCAGCCACAAATTGGAAGAGCTGTTTCGATACCGGTTATACAGATTGAAGATGATAATTATGATGACTTGTTTTCTAATCATGAAGAACCCACTGAAGCTGATAGGAAGTTTCATATGCTCCAGGAGCGTATGCGGGCTTTTGAGAATCAAGGAGCTATGGGTCTCGATATGTCTGATTTGGGATTGGTCCCTGGAGTGAAGATTCCTCTGAAATTCAAAGTGCCAGACTTCGTCAAGTAAAAAGGTGTTTCATGTCCTAAGGCGCATGTTAAGTATTACTATAGGAGGATGTCGGCGTACTCCAATGATGAGAAGTTGCTCATGCACTTATTCTAAGACAACTTGGCTGGTGGTCCCTTTGATTGGTATATGCAGCTGGAAAGCTCTCACGTTCGCAGTTGGAGAGAGCTGGTTGAAGCTTTTGTTCAGCATTATCAATATAACAGCGACATGGCACCTACCCTAACTCAGTTGCATAATCTGTCAAAGGGGAAGAAAGAGTCATTTAAAGAGTATGTGCAAAGGTGGTGCGAAATGGCGGCTAGGGTGCATCCTCCTATGATGGAAAGAGAAATGGTGGACATGTTTACCAGTATGCTGCATGGGGCATTTTTATACTGCTTGTAGCACTTCTGACTCTTTTGTTGAGATGGTGACTTATGGTGAAATTGAAGTCGGAACCAAGATAAGGAAGATTCAGGATAATGTTACGACTAGTAACAATACTGGTATGTTAAGAAATCTTTTGGTGGCTATCAAAAGAAAAAGTAAGGTGAAGCCAGTGCGTTGTATTCTCGGAAAGGAAAAGGAAGGGCTTATCATGGAGCCAGATCAACAGATTGTCGTTGTAACCATTTCAACAGCAGCACCTCAACGGCAAGCTTGTACCTCGTCAGGTTAATCAGCAACAGAAGTTGATAGAACCTCCGAGAAAGTTTGATGCACTTCCCATGTCTTGATTTGAATTGCTACCTTGTCTACTCCAACTGAAGTTGGTCGAGTTGTGCACCTTGAATATTATTCTTGAAATAAGATCGCCAAATTTTGATGCTAATGCCCAATGCAAATTCTACTATGGAGCACACAGGCATAGCATTAAAAATTGCATTGCTTTTAAGCATAAGATACATGATATACTTATTTTCCCAAGCTATCAACTTTGGGCCAGTGCCGACACCAAATATTCTCCAATAACCTTTGCCACCTCATGGGGGTGCCACTGTCAATGCCATTGTTGAAGATGAAGGTCTGAATTTAGTGATGGATGTGAAACTGTTAACAACGCCTTTATCTTTTGTGAAGAAACAAATGTTAAAGAAGGGTGTGTTTCCGGGTTGTGCTACCGACTGTGAAGATTGCTTGACCCATCCAGAGGGATGTGATTGCTTGAAAAGTGAAGTACAAAGGTTGATTACTGAAGGGTCTCTACAGTTTGATAGATTGGCTGTGGAAACCCAGGCCAAATAGGATAAAGTAGATGTGATCACATTCAATTTTCACCTAAGAAGATTACTGCTCATGTAACAATACTGATTCCTGCTAAGCGGTCTCCGTTGACAATTACTCTACCTGGTTCAGTTCTATATGCTAGTGATAGAACAGTACCTTGGAATTATGGTGGTGAGTTTTATTCCCAAGGAAAGAAATATGTAATGGAGACATCTAAGGAAGATACATCAGAGGTCTATGACATTGTGGGTGAAAGCAGAATCACCAGAAGTGGCCAAATCTTTTCTCCTCCTAATCTACCAGAAAGAAGCATTGATGCCTCAGACAAGGTCAAAGGCAAGCAAATTGTAGTAAATGGTGAAGAGCCTGCACGAAATCCTCTTGTTCCAACTTTGAGTGCTGATATAGCCAAAGGTGTGGAAGAATTGATGTGATACATCAAGAAGAGTGATTATAAGATCATCGATCAGTTAGGCCAAACACCGACCAATATTTCCATTCTAGCTTTGCTTCGGGACTCTGAGTCTCACCGTAATGCATTGATGAAGTTGTTGGGTACCATTTTTATGCCGTAAGAAATTTTTGTTAATCAATTCGAAGGGATTGTGGCTAGCATTTCTTCAAGCAACGACCTTGGGTTTACTGATTTTGATTTTCCTTCCGAGGGGAGAAATCATAACAAGGCACTGCACATATCCATGGAGATTGTAGGTACATCTTTATCTCGTGTGTTGGTTAACACGGGATCATCATTGAATGTTTTTCCAAAATGCACTTTGCTGAAGTTGGTCTATGAAGGGGTTGTGCTAAGGACCAGTGATTTAGTTGTGAAAGCGTTTGATAGATCGAAAAGATTGGTATTCGGTGAAGTTGATCTTCAAGTGAAGATGGGTCCTCATACTTTCAATGCAATGTTCTTTATCATGGATATCAATCCCTCATATTGTTTTTTGTTGGGACGCCCTTGGATTCATGGGGCTGGTTCCATGACATCCACGTTGCACCAAAAGTTGAAGTTCTTGGTTAAATATAAAGTTGTCATTGTCTGTGGT